GGAGGCTAAAGCAATTTAGCAAATAGGAAACTAAGGCTACTCTGACAGGTCTGTCATGAGCATCTTTAATCCCCAGGTAATGGTTGATGGAATTAGAGCTAGTATAGCAACGATGCTCCATCCCAAATCTACCCTAGACTGAAGAAATAGCAGTGAAATGGTTTGTTTGTTTATTTGTTTTCTGAGGGGACCCTTCTCTCAAAGGAGAAGAACAAAGCTGTGGTTTTTTTCATTATTATGAAGTCACCTCCTACACATCATCACGCAACTTGCTGTAATTTTAAAACTTGAATATTAGTTTTCTTTCTAAAACACTAAAGGGTGAGGTGCTGACATTGCTGGAATTATACATGTCTTGAGACTGAACAGAGTCTGTACAAGATATTTATGTCAGATTTAAGCAACTCTGACTGGTGTTTAATGCTGGTGCATTTTCCTTGAATGAAGATGAACCGCTCTTACATGGTTATTGTAATAATGCAGATTTCTTATGCATGAAAAGGTAAACAGACACATAAAAAGATACACATACACACACAGATGTAAGTACCCAGTAAAAAATGTCACATTCAGTGCTTAATCCAAACATAATGAAAGTTAATAAGATTCTTGTACAATTACAGCTCTGAATCAACACTGATGACTTAATAGAATAATAATATTTTATAGTATTTTCCCTAAATAACAGAGAGTAAAAAATTACACTCACCTGTTCTACTTTTCCAAAGAGTTAAATACTCTTTTTTCTCCTCTAGAGAGCCTTCTAAGATAAGGCAAGAAGTTTAGAAAATTTTAAGTTCTAAGTTTTATAGTACTATATTAGCTTTTGTAACAATTCACCTAATACTTTCTACAACATTTTATGAAAACAGATATTCTTCACCTCAGTTAATTAAATCAATAGAGAGGAAATAATAAAAAGGAGTTCAATATTGTATTACACCATAAACATTACTCTTGGAAGACGCTGAGGAAAGGATTTAAAGGAGAATTATTCATTAAACTGCAGTATTACCTTCTACATGTGTTTTCATAATCAATTGTGTTGGTCAGTTTGGAATCCAAGTTTTAAACTAATAAAAAGTGTGCCACTCAGTTATTTTTTAGATCTTATATTTCAAAATCTGAATTTAAATTTACTTTAAAAACATACAATAAACAGTTGGATTGAATAAGGTGTATATAATAAAGAAGAAAAAGAAAGAAGAAAAATGTAAACAGGAACCCAAAATACTTCCTTGATGCTTATATTTCCAGTTCTTCTGTCTGTAAATGGGGAATACATATCAGAGCAGTTATTTTTTGCAAACAGCATCTCTCCAGCTCTGACAGCAAAGGACTCAGCTTAGGCTGCACAGTATGATCAGGCATCTGGGTAAAAATGCAAATGGCTGCCTGCACTGTGCTCCCACATTACATGTACAGTGATACATGTGTAAGCTTATTTCCTTAGAGCTCATTTCAATGTATCTGCAGTATAACAGAGACATTGCCAATCAGTGACATCTATTTCTGTAAAAAAGGTCAAGAGACCAACGCATTATTAAGTGACAGAATTCAACCCTATTTATTTCAGCATGTATTTGAACAAATGTCTGAGAAATCTGGCCTGCTATGAGGATACAAGAGTTTTAATGCATGAACAAGGGCATTTGCTATGTAATTTTCCTATTTAAAACTCAATTATTAAAAGATAAATATATACTATGTATACACTGTAAGATAAACTTGGATAGTAAATAATTCAAATATGCAATCTCTACATCCTACCAAAAGCAGCAATTAATTTACTTCAGTTTCTAGATAAAAACAGATGCAAAGCATTGATCCATCTCAATAATATTAGCTCCATAATACTGTCTAGCCATACTCTCATCTAGCATACATCTTACTCATTTTTGCCTGTTTTACACAAGAGAGAAAACGAATCCATTTCTGCCAATAAGTAAATTTTGCCAAAAACAATTACATAACTGAATAGAAAAACCTTGTGTGTTGGTGTTTTTTCCCCCTTTCATACTTTACCCTTCACTATTTTTATTATGTGGACTGTAATTAATCAAAATCATATCAATTTTATGTAATTATATACATACACTGTGTCATTCTAAACACAAGCAATCTAAATACAGGGAAATATCTCTATTTCTGCATTTCTAAAATCCCCTTTCTACTGGATATCTATCTTCCATTGATAGCAAAGGTAACAATCACTCCTTCATAACTAAGGTCAGATCCAATAATTTAGATGAGGAAGTCGGAGACAGATGGAGCTCCATTTCGTCCACTACAGCTGTTTTAGTAATAGCATTATGAAAGTAGCACACCAGAGACCACACTTTTTCCTTGTTCATTTTTTACTGCATTTTCACCAAGGAGCAAGGAAATTGGACTCCAAGGGAGCTGACTACACATGCTAGTAGTAAGACACAGCCCACAAGGCATCAATCCTTTGATATATACCAAAATAAATGACTGAAAGCAAACAATTTATAAGGCAGCTGTAGTTCTATTTAATTTGACACTCAACCAGAAAATCCAATGTGTCAAAAATGCACATGCCAGAATAACATCAACCACCAGAATGACATCAACACACAATAACAACAGCTCATGTTAATTTATCAGTATTTCTTAAATAAACACAGTGACAATTATGTACTAATGGTGTCAATATACTCCCACTCTGCACAATTACAGAACATCACTGTTCATCACTGATTTAACACTCTCAGAAAACATGAACCTTCTCATATGCATAGACAAGGTCCTGGATAGTTAATGTAAAATCTTTCTTTATCCCTGACACAAATTCACTCAAACATGCTGTGGTTCTGTCCTGAAAAAGAGTCTTTCTGGAAATACAGGAGGAAACATCCTACAGACCCACAACACAGGTACTTTCTCCCTTATCTTCCAATAAAACCTTTAACGATAGAAAAAATAGTGCCAAATGTGCAGACAACTCTTCTAATCCTAATGGACTAGGCAGGATTCACACCAGTAACCTAAGATCAGAACCTCTATTTCTGACAATAAGGTCATTAGCTATCATATTGCCCCCAAAATTCAGGCAAAGACCTTAGAAGTCTTAACATTTTCATCATTCTTTCCAATACTGTATTTAAAGTGTTTAGTTTTACTTCTATCATTCTTACAATTCAATGGCTGCTGTCTACCACACAGCCTTGGCATTGATTTCTAATACAATAATGCAACTATATTCCCATGGCAACTTGTTTTCAGATAGCTTCTCAATTCATATATCTACCAACCACAGGAGATGGCCTACATTATTTCAGCCGTTCCTAAAATATGTGATATTAATTAAAAAAATCCAAATCTAATCTTCCATTATCAGCCTACAACCCTTACAGTGTGTGTGATTTATCAATTATCTCACTCTCAGTTCCTTCCTTCCTTTCTAGCAAACCAGTATTCATTATTCAGCAGTTGAAGTTAGCTTCCACCCGAGGTCCAAGGAGATGATGGTAGGAGGAGGTGTGCCATCCCTCAGACACAGAGGTATTAAAACTAAATTTTATGGCTGGAGGAAGGCTGTGGCTAGGCAAGACAGACAATTTCCTATGACACTCCAGAGCTATCGAAATATACAGTCCACTTCCTCTGGTGTTCTCATTTCCTGCCATCTCACTTCAATCTAGCCTACTTAATGGACAGAAAACCCTTCAGCTTTTTGGCTGAGTCAGGCTTTCTCTGGTTATTGTGCTGCAGCTGGCTTCCCAAGGGAATGAATAAGCATCAGAGATGGTACCACAAAGGAGAGAGGAACACAGCTGGGAGCTGTGCATCTGGTAGCAGCGAGCAAGCAGATTGGTTTGACTGGATCCAATCTGCATCCAAGTTACATTCACACAAAAAAATACACCATGCTCCTTCCAGCTAGTCCTACTCCATTAAAACACAGCACTGCTCCTTTGCTTCCCAAACCTCCTGTTTGTTGCTCTAAAAGGATCAAGATTCTGTGTATTCAAAAAGCTGCAGAGAGCAGCTTGTCCCAGAGTCAGGGAGATCTTACGGCATTCTCCTTCCCTGCACTTGGGTATAAACAAAAGATACTACAATATACTAAAGCCATGTTCGTAATTCCTAAGCTAATAATATTACAACCAAGTATTATGAACTTCTGCCTCAGCTGCTTTCATATTTTCAATTCTAAGAAAAGCAAAACTTTCATTTTTAAACTAATTCGTTGAAGTAGTGAAGGTTTTAAAAATATATTAGGTGTAGAGTTTATATATTTTTCTTGTTTGACTGTCCTCAAACAGCTGCTTAAGTGCTTAATATACTTGCAAATATGTCTAAACATTTCTAAGTCTGAGCTTCATACGTTACTGTTCCAGTTTATCTCCTCACATCCAAATATACCCTGTAAAATTCATTATTATATATTGCTCTCTGCTGCAGAGATATTTTCTTTTTGTGAGAAATAGAAAGCAGCTAACACCTGCAGTTTGGAAAAGAAATTTTAATCTGACATGATTCAAAAAAGCATTTGAATTAACAGACAAGCAAGCTGTAAATAAAGTTGACAGTCATTTATAGTATAAAAGAGTGGCATTTTTAGTAGCATGCAAATACAGCTGACAGGCATGTCTTTATTCAATTAGTTCCTAGTTTCCAAGGGCAGAGTTGTGTGCACACATGAAGACTGCACCCTCTAATTTTAGAGACTTTCTATATTGAATATTTAAAACTACTTAGTATCTGAATCACTTTAACAGAACATCACTTAACGTACTTCTCAGTTTTAGCTTTTGATAATTTACTCTGTATACCTCAACATTGCTCATGACCTGATCCAAAATTACATCCAAGCAGATCTCTTGGCTTTTTTTTAAATTTCAGTTTCAAAATAGTTAGACTTCCATGTGTGCACATTTTTATATGCTTCTCAGTATTATAAAAGTTTCATACCAATCCATCTGTGTATTCTACTTACTTCTGCATCTAAAATAGCAGGTAAAACAGGCACTTACTGTTCAGCAGTTACAGGGCACTTCTCCACTCCTCCTTTTCCAAATGACTTGCCAAATCAAACCTACTGCCTCTTTAGCTGCTGGGAAACAAAAACAAAAAACCCACACACATGTCAGAATTCAAAGAACTGAGGGAGAGGCTATTTTCCTAAAAAAACTCTTGCAGAGGAAGTAAAAAGCAGTGTAACAGTGGTATTAATACTTAAAATCTCGTAATAGCTAACAAGAATCTCTGAACATGAAATCCCTTCACAAAAATACCGTGGCAAGACATACAGTTAACATCTTTAGGCAACAAGAAAGGAAGACCACCAGAAACAACAATAATAAAAATATATAAATATTTAAAAAGTGAAACTATTGCCTTTGCATTAGCTCAATTTTCTATCTTTTTCACATATTGTGAACCATTAATATTTCAACAGTGAATTAATTTTTTCTAATGCCTTCTCCATTTGTCTACTGTATTAAAGGATTGGCCAGGGTTTGTGCCTGCCACGACAGTAGTAGCACCTTTTTTTTTTTTTTTTTCAATTGCAAGTCCAAATATGTTGCTCCGTCCATACAGAATTAAACTTCCTTGAAGAAGCTTTTGATTTATTATTTTTTTAATATAAAAGCGGCAAATTTCCATTGGAGATAATGCAATTGAAAAAAGGTCAACTGTAAGAAACTTACGTTTTCTGAAGTACGATAGCTGCCGATTACTTATCATTCCCCAAAGGTATCAGAAGCAGCAAGCAATTCAGTGCTAACACTGGTCATTCAGTATAGTTATTAATAATTGCAATTCTAGAACAAATCAAATGTGCTAGAATTGCTTCTATAAAACTAGCACGATGAAACTTCTATGATTTACAGTAAACCTCATTTATAATACACCGGATAGCATCTTAGAAAATTAAAGTTCTAACAGTCATTTAGACTTAATGTGTGTTAGAGATGTCACCACATCAAACACAGTTCTGTTTCACGAAGTATTTAAAGCTCATCACGACTAAAACATGAAATAAGAACAGTCTGCTTTCTAAAAGACATTCCCATACCTCTTGTCAACACCAGACACTTCTTTTAAATGACCACCGCCAGTTACAAAATTTCTGTCTATTCATAGCAGTGGGTGGTGATGCTGAGAGACTACGTGAAAAGCCCTGTTGCGTTACACACTCCCACTCCTTACACACTGCTAGGAGACAGCCCCTGTACTGCATAGGTGAAAATGCATTGAAAATGTATATTTGAAGAGAAACATTCTCTGAATGAAAACAGGTATTATCTCCATCTTACAAACAGAAAAACGAGGCATGCCAGATGTCATGGGGTAAGCCCTACTTGAAAGCAGCACTTGGATAAAACGAGGTCTGAACAACATACACCCACTCTATCAGTGGAGGTTCGTGCTGGGGAGAAGCGCGGGTTAACTGCAACCAACTTCACATCCCTGCAACACCTCTGGGGTGGGAGCCTCCAAGGCGGTAGCAAGCTGGCTAACCACTGCTTCCTGGCTTTAGGTTTGGAGGAAGTCACAGAGGCTGGCTGGGGGTGGCAGGCCCACCCCGACAGAGCCCGGGGGTGAAGCACCGCCGGGACCCCGAGCAGGGCCACTGCGGCTTTGGCGGGCGTGAACATGCACCCCCCACCAAAAATGCAAGCGTAACACACCCCGCCCCAAGTGCACCCCCTCCCCAGCTGTCCCCTGGCAAGCTCCAGCCAGCACAGAAGTGAAAACCTATGTCAGGGAGCAGAGACTTCTCTCCTTGCAGCTGCCGCACGCCCGGACTCCCCATGACACCCACCAGCCTGTAGAAGTACCGTGAGACAGCTACAGCAGAATGTGAAATAGGTTTTTCTAATATCCAATGCATTCCAGGTACTTTAGCCAGCAACTTCCTAAAGATTTTCTTTATTTCCACAGAAAATAGTTCCTTAATATTAGTTTTAAACTTACCACTGCTAAAATTAGCATTTTACAAGGAAAATATGTTTTTATTTATTTTTCTCGAAGAGTAATAGCTTTTAAAATTTCTGTTGTTATCATTTATATTCTCACTCTGCAGGAAACCTCCGGTTAAAGATAAGAGATCCTATAACAAAAAAATGTTTATTTTCTGAAGACAATACTTTAACAAGTGCTTAACTGATCTCCCTTCCTCGTCTATTTCAAATCAATTTCATTTTTCTCATATCCAGAATGACACCTGCCAGTGCAGCTGCTCTGCTCGGCATTTCTGCATGTGCTCAAGTCCTGCAGTATAAAGTCAGTCGGTCAGGAGACAACACTGGCGGGGCACAAACCAGGACACTAGAGTGGTGGTTCCACTGCTCTGGTTCCCAAGGCTAATCCATGAAAAATATTACCACTACAAACTTTGCAGTAGAGACCTGGAAAGAAAGGTCAAGGAATATAAAGGGCAAAACACTTTTCTATTCTCTTTTTTTAGAACTCATGGAGAGCTAAAGGGGAAGGAGATTGCAAACCACCGACACAAAAGCATTAGAGACAAAGCAAGGCCATGGGGCTACCGACTGGTTTTGCCATTAGATCACAGGGAAAAGCACAAGTGAGAGCTGCTATGAGACCCCTTTCTTCCACAGAAACAGCAAGCAGTACCTGCCTGAACGGCTGCCTGTTTCAACTTCTTCCCTTGCTCATTTTCCCCTGCTGGTCCATTCCAAATGCTTTCATGTCATCTCTTAAATACAGGATGTATTTAAATTTTTTTACGGGAAAAGCACAGTATGGAAATATGCAAGGTGAGGTAAAAAGGCTGCAGTGGGATAAACTTGTATATTAAGCACTATTCACTGAAAAATATTCTTAAAATATGTTAATTATCCCTTTTGTAGAATATTTGAATGATTACATATGAAGCTGGAGACAATACTCAGACCTGATTACTCTGCAAAACAGGATAATAAAGAGAAAAAAAATCTCAGCAATAAAATTAGAAACTTATAGTTTGAAGTAACATGCTGTCAGCATCCCAAGCCCTATAGTCCTAGTGCTTTTGCAGCATTCCAACTGATAACTACATTAATTATAAGAGAGACATTGGAAACCCCTTTTTCTAGACATAAAGAATGTCAAAACTCTGTATTTTATTTACTAGACAATTCAAAGCTAACCATATTTTACTTTCTATATAAAGAAAACCATAAAATTCTCCTGCAGTTTTTTTATTTCCCCCATCCTTTTGCAAGGGGTTACAACGGAATATTTTTGGCACAGGAAAAAGTTGTTGCTTCTTATTTAGTTCTCCTTTGCATCCCACAAAACCACTTGTGCCACTGAATTTTCACCTAAAGAATAGAAAAGGGAAATGAGCACATTTGCCAATACTCAATAAAATAAAAATTTTAAGTAATTTTTAATAAATAAGAGATTATTTTTCTTCTTTCTGGATTGCAGTATAATCACTAGATAAAAACCATAGTAATATATAGAAATTAGACACTGTTTTTAAAACAATAAAAAACAGTTTATTAACACTGTTCTTATTTTCAGTCCTGTTATTTCACCTTGAAATTATAGTTGATATCAATATTATACAGACCTATTTTCTTACTGGCATCCCAATAGGATTCTAAAGAAAATAGAACACAACTGATGTTTGCTATCCAAATTTTGTACTAAAGGTTCCTAAACCTCCCAAAACCTGTAGTTTGAAGCAATACTGTTACAGAAACTAAAGCAGTGAACTTGCTCATATTACATAATTAACACATAGAATTTGAACCATATTGAATAAAAATCATTCTATAGAAATGTGATGGGCTGCAAGAATTGTTGTTGACTGTTCATTGTGATCATTGTGGGAGCAACTGCTTATCATAAGGAAATGGTTAGCTAAGGAACTGGTCAGGAAATGAGAAAAATGAGTCATCAAGGAGATCAGTAGCACCTGGAGCACTAAGATGTTAGGTCAGCTCAATGTATTTAGGAGCCCATGACAAATTGGCTGAATACTAAACTATAGGACAACCTGAAAAGGCTATCTTCAGCATTTTGGTATTTTCTCCTTGCTTTTTATCAGTAAATTATGAAAACACAGTGGGCTAAACAATCTACCTGATAGTACCAGGCTTTAACACTCAATCTGTAAAGGCTGGACCTCAGCCACCTACATGTCTGTTACCTTCTATATTCCAAATAGCGTCATATATCTTTTGCATTAAAAGGGCCTGAATGAAAAATTTAAAACGATTTTTAAACTGCATAGCCTGCTCTTCCTTCAGCAGTTCAGTACAACATACCATAAGTTGTATTTGGAAATTTATTTTTAAAAAACTGATCTAAAATTGGGGAAAAAAAAAATAGAAATAATATGTTTATGTTCTTGAGCTCTAGCAAAATAAAGCATGACAAATTCCATCAGAGTTACTGAAAATACACCCATTTAAATCAAATGCAGCAATGTTCAGCTACTCATAGTGACATCAAGATGAGTTCATAACTGTGTATAAACATTAGGGTAATTCCTGCAGGTTTTTTGCGTTGAGGTCTGGGATTATTCTATTCTTTCTAGGATTAAAATATGCTCCACACTTTTTAGTAGACACTGTTGTAATACCAAATTTAGTGTGTCTATTTATCATATCAACTCATCAACTTTGCTTATTCTTGTAATTTCTTTAACTTGCCTTTCTCATCCTGCATTCTTTCTTTGTTGTGTAAGGATTTTATCGGTATTATTACAATTAAGGCTAGGAACTTAGACTCCATAATGGCTTAACTTTACCAGTGTCAATTTTATTCTCAGGTAGAAACAAAAAGTCTGTTAACTGATTTCAGAACCATCATGTACAGTAACTCTTAGAAGCTGCCGAATGCCCTGGATTCCTACAGATGTCATAATGTTATAATTTGGGTATTCTTAGTGAAGAATATAGTTAGTATCAACTATCTGTTTTGTAACATTATTAATATATTCCCAATTATTCTGTAGAAAATTACAGTGTAGCATCATAAATCCAAATACAATACACATAATTATAATCTCTGCTAACAGAATGACCCTGGATGATTCTCTGGAAATCTAAAATATTTATAATATGTGGACACAGTAAAAAAGAATACATT